CGAGGTTCCGGATTCTCTTTCTTCCAGACATAGCTAGCGAAGTAAATATCTGAAAATTATAAAAAACATAAACCGGTTAAACTAAACAATTAAAATAAATCAAATTTCAATTCTAAATTAAATCCAAACCTAAACTAATTACAAACCTAAACTAATTACAAACCTAAACTAATTAACTAACTAACCACCTAAAAAAAAATTACCTAGAGAGATGTTGTGTAGTGGTTAGAGAGAAGTGAATGAGCAACTGAAATGCTTCCGCGAGGTCCTTATATATATACAGTTTTGACCATTGGTCGTACATTAGTCGTAATACAACGACTAATTTACGACCAATGGTCATAAATTAGTCGTAATATGACGACTAATGTACGACCAATACGTATTACGCTACATTACTACGACGAATTACGACGACATTACGACGAATGTGGGTCAATACGTACATTACGACCAATTAGGGTCGAACTATTACGAATACATTACAACTAAGTGTTGTAATGTAGTCGTAGGGTTACGACTGTTTAGGCTCCAAATACTTATTAGTCGTAATGTAGTCGTCTAATCCCTAAACCCTAAACCCTAAACCCTAAACCCAAACCACAAACCACACACTTCCAACCCCTAAACCCCAATTACCACAAACTGCAAACACGTATATCAAATATATCTCGTAACTCAAAAAAAAATTCATAATGCAAACATAATTAATTAAGATATCGGAATATTATTCGGATCATAATATAATGCAAACATAATGTATTTCATAATGGAATCAAATACAACTGACGGTAAAGTACATAATCACTCGTCATCGGAAACATTTTCCACCTCATCATTTTCTTCAAATTCATCTTCGTTGGCTTCGTCCAAAATCGCATCGTCTGGAAATTCTTCATATATCGGATTCTGCGGATCAACAAGTAAGATATCATCAATACGTTGCTCAGGTACTTCTACTTCATTTACGACATCTTCTTGTAAAGGCGGTTGGTTGTAAAATTTATTAGATGTATATTAGTCGTACATTTACAACCAATGAGTGGCAATTTTACGACCAACTTACAACCAAATAGTAGTTAATTGGTGGTAAAATATATTAGATGTATATTAGTCGTAAATTTACAACCAATGAGTGACAAATGTTCTTTACGACCAATTAGGGACTACATTTGTAATATATTTTAAAAAAAAAGAGAGAAGAAAGACAGTGGAATCACAACTCCATAGATTCTAAGCGAAACCAACGTTTCAATGTTAGNCGTAAATTTACAACCAATGAGTGACAAATGTTCTTTACGACCAATTAGGGACTACATTTGTAATATATTTTAAAAAAAAAGAGAGAAGAAAGACAGTGGAATCACAACTCCATAGATTCTAAGCGAAACCAACGTTTCAATGTTAGTCCCGCATTAATCTTTTGGAGTTGTGATCCCAGTGTCTTTTTTTCTCTTTTTTATTAAATTTTTAAACTCTTCGACTCAATTATCAACTCTCTTTATTAATATATTTCAAAATATTAGTTTAGAAATATTTGGAAAAGAAGAGAAGAAAGATACTAGAATCATAATTCCGTGGATTCTATGCGAAACCAACGTTTCAACGTTCGTCTCGCATTGATCTCTTCGGAGTTTTGATCCGAGTACCTTTCTCTAATCTTTTTCAAATCTTTCCACACTATATGTAAAATATTTTAAATTTTTTGTTTATCTTTTGGGAGAAAACGATGGTTCTTTTATAGCGGACATTACGACTACTTAGCTTCTAAATTTTACGACTAATTAGCATCTCGTACCATCCCTTAGTCGTAAACGAGTCGTACATTACGACCAATTAGCTTCAACCTACCATTAAAGCTTTGACCGAAATCCTCAACACGTGTAGTCATACACTAGTCGTAATTTAACGACCAGAGTACGTTCACAAGGACATGTAGTCGTAAATTAATCGTTATGTTACGACTAATTTACGACTATTGAAATTGGTAGCAATTTAACCTCTGAGTTACGACGAATTCTTTTTTAGACGTAAATTAGTCGTAATTGCGATTTAAAATTACGACTACACGTATGTAGTCGTAATTCGTAGTCGCTATGACCACGTTTTCTTGTAGTGAATTGGTTGGTAGTATTTACTTCTAATTGTTAAAATAAATTAAATTCGAGTATTGAATAATCATTTTATATATTTAAAATAAACTGTTTTAATATTGAATTCTTGACGTAAAATCATATAAAATAATAATAGAGATTATTTCTGATCTGTAAATGGGATCCATAATGAAAATAAAACAAGGGTCTTACCAAAAAAACAAAAATGAAAATAAAACAAGGATATCGTTCATATTCTAACTAGACCTCATCATTCATTAGATGAGTGAATGCATATATATATTTACTTACATATCATCATGATCTTGTTCTCACATTAGTAACTTATATAATATTTAGTACTAGCTATCAGCTAGATTCTTACCAAAAAAAATACTATCAGCTAGATTATACATTAAATGTGGAAATTAATCTTAGATTTCTGATATCAAATAGTACAATATTCCAAATTCTATCAGGATACTGAAAATTTTTCTTAACTTGAATATATTAAATCATATATAACTCTATGTTTTCGAATTTGGATTTTCCTTTTTGCAGTAAATAAGTAATTACGACTATCTACTCTATTAAAATAGAGTCATTTTTTTTATCTACTGATATAAGTTGTCATTTAAATTTGAACCCTTTCTAGAATGTTACAAATAATATAAGTCATATAATTGATTGAACCGTATTAATTAAATTAAACCAACGCAGTTAATGTAAAGAGACGACCTTAATGTAAACTACCTTCAAAATCCGGCAGGTATCTATGTGTATACCGAAAACATATATTTTCTCCTACAAATATGGAATGTTCTAAAAGATATATATCATCAAAATATGGAGTATGGAAATCTACTAGTTACTTTTATTTTTTGAACAAATTATATAGTTTGGTTTTTGGACATAGTATTAAGAAAAAAACTCCAAAAACATTGAATAAAATTTTCACCTTGAAAGATCAAAAAATCAATTATTATTTTCAGACTCAAAAGTTATTTAATATTTTTAACAAAACAAAATTATCTATTATTAATCATTTATTTAAATCATGTACTTTAAAACATGTTAATTTTTTTCTTTTAAATAATAATCACTTTGTTTTGATAAATTTCAATGGTAACTTTTAAATAATTATTGTTTTATTTTTCTTAAATAATTTACTGATTAAAAAAATGTAAAGCAAAACCAAAAACCAAATCTAAAAACTAAAATCCAAAACCAAAAGCTGAAAACACATGTTATATTTTTTTGGCTTTGTTTATTTACAAAATAAACTATTTCAATTTTTTTTAAAAAAATTGTTGTCATCTTTTCAGTTTTAAATTAGATGTTCGATTATTTGAGATTTTTTTGTTGGTAATATTAGTTCAAACTAACTCAGCGGGTTTAAAGATTAAAAACTCAAACCAAAAACTGAAAATGAAAAGTAGAAACTTAAAAACTAAAAACCAAAAACCAAAAACCAAAATCTAAAAATAAAAAACTGAAACTAAAAACTAATGAAAAACAATCATCACCACAAATTTTAGTAAACTGATTTTATATCAAAATATTCTTTAAATTAAGACAAAACCCAATTATATAATTTTTAATCATAAAAAAATTTACGCGCTTGAAAAGCGCGGGTCAAAATCTAATTTTACTTTATAGGATTGTCATTAGTGATAAACCAATCGGATTATATAATTGTTATGAAAACTCTTAAATAGACTATATATTAAAGCTCAGAAGGTCAATAAAATCGATCTGCTCTTATATATCAATAAATTAAAAGTTGGGGAAAAGGACAAAAAGGTAAAGAAAGATTAGAGTAGACGCGTTGATTACAAAAAAATAAAGATTAGAGTAGACGCGTTACAAATTAAATAAAAAATTGTACAAAAAGTGTCAACAAAATATCTACAAAGAGGAAAAAGAGAATACGCCGTGAAATATGGTTTTAGTGTAAATGGAAGAAGACTCACCACATCACAAATTCACATGCAAACCTACACAACCTCGTCGCACGCTACGGATCTTCATCTGACGGCTTCTTTTTCATAACCAATGAAAAGCAAACAAATATGTAAAACAAAATAATTTTAAACCAAAACTTACTCATATTCTCCTTCCGTTCAATTTCCTAAAATTTATATTTTACTGCCAAAAACTAAAGTTAAAGGAAGAATACCTGTGCGTGTGTATAAATAGATAACATATGCGTGGGATGATCGACATGCAACGATGAAATCATCATCGGGTTTCCTGGAAACTTCAGAGAGATGGATAGCTACGAACATGGGAAGACTATCGCCATTCCTCTTGTCTTCTTTTTGTATAACTCTCTTCTTTACCTGTTTCTTAGTTTACCAACAAAATCCTTTCAAATCCATCTTTGACCAAAATGATCTCACCCTTCTACCTCAAATCGGTAAGGTAGAGAATATAGAATATGGGTTTTGTTAGGTTTGGTTTCTCCACTAACTTAGATTATGGGACTAAGGATTAGTTGTGCTTTTAGACTTACTAATATATGATTTTTATGTTTAACCATTCACATATTATTTGTACCGTTTACTTTTTTTTCTTTTGTTCTTGTGATATTTTTTGGGGAATTCTATTGACTTGTTTTATATTTGTTGTGGTTTGGTTAGATCCTGAATGTGATTTGTTCAAGGGACATTGGGTTCCAGACAAAAGAGGATCACTGTACACGAACTCAAGCTGTTCTACCATTCCTGATTCCAAGAACTGCATAAAACATGGGAGATCAGACAAAGATTTCTTGTTTTGGAGATGGAAACCTGATGGCTGTGATCTTCCTAGGTTTAACCCTAAGGCGTTTCTCAGTATGGTCCGAGGCAAGAAGATGATTTTTATTGGAGATTCTGTAGCAAGAAACCACATGGAATCTCTTCTCTGCTTGTTGTCAGTGGTGAGAAGCTGGATCTTGAAGATGTATATGTTGCTTTGTTTACAAGAAAATGATTTTAAGAATAAATAGTCTTTTGCTTGTGCAGGAAGAAACTCCTAAAGATATTTATAAGGATGGAGAAGACAGAAATAGGGTTTGGTACTTTCCTAGTCATGATTTCACTCTGTCTACCTCTTGGACTAAGTTTCTTGTGGCGGGACAAGAGAGGTTAGACGGTAACAAGACCGGAACTGGATTGTTTGATATAGATATCGCCAAGATGGATCACGGGTGGTCTAAGGGTCTACCAAATACAGACATAGCTATTGTCTCTGCTGCTCACTGGTTCTTCAGGCCAATAATTATACATAGAGGAGACGAGACGCTTGGTTGCATCTACTGTAACTTACCAAACACGACTCAGATAACCCCGGACGAAGGGTTTAAGATTGTCTACTCAGCTGTCTTTAAGCACATCAGTGAGTGTAAGAACTGTAAGGAAGAGTTAGTAACGGTCCTGAGGACTATTTCACCTTCTCAGTTCGAGAATGGGACTTGGGATACAGGAGGAGCGTGCAGCAGGACGAGTCCTTTCGGTGAAAACCAGATCGATCTCCAAAGCTATGAGATGAAGATTAGGACAACTCAGATTCAACAGCTTGAAGGTGTAACAAAAGGAGATTATAAAGGAAAGAAGTTTGCGGTTTTGGATGTGACTAAGGTTATGCTGATGAGACCTGATGGGCATCCTAATGGTCACTGGGGAAATAAATGGATGAAAGGTTACAATGATTGTGTCCACTGGTGTTTGCCAGGGCCTATTGATGCGTGGAGCGAGTTTCTAATGGCGATAATTAGAAAATTAAGATGATCCCCTTTGTAATTAAACATACAAGAGTATAAACATTATTTTTACATTTCCTTACGAAAAATAAGTGTTATCAATGATGTAAATTTTTTGTTGTATGCTTCTAAAATATATGTTGTCACATAGAGATTACACAATACTCAATACAATTGATAATATGACTTTTCTCGACCTATGACAGAGATCTAGGAGTTTAAAGTCAGAGAAACAGAGATCTGTCTGAATCTAAAACTGTCCGTGAGATTTTGACCAATGTGTATCTATGTATGTACTTGATTATGAGATAATTATTAGAAGAAACTTGATTCCTAAAGTTATACATCACATTTGTCTCGTTAAATATGAAAATTTCATACATATATATAGAGAGAAAGCTATATTTACTTGTTGATAATACTTAGACATGCTCATTGTTATTGTCATTTTCCAAGAGAGGAGCCTTTTGTGAACTTGATGGAGAATCACGGTCAGCTTCGTTGGCATCCTCATTGTTAGCCTTGTTGTCATCTTCGAGTAAGGCCACTTCCTTGGCTTTTCCCCACATCACCGTGTAGAACCCAATGGTTATTACCGTTGCCCCTATCAAGCTGAGATCAACAGAAGAGAGTTAACTAAAGCATAAAAAGGTTTGAGACATGCATCTGATTAGAAAGTATGTGTTTTTTATAACCGATTCACTAGTTACTATGTACATTACACAATAATGTATATAGTAACTAGTGAATCGAGGATTAATTTGATAAAGCTTTTTGTGACAATAGTAAAGTGACTTATCTGAGGTGTGAACTTATAGTTAAGCTTTATCAAATTAATCTTCATTTCACTAGTTACTATGTACATTACAAAATAGTAAAGTGACTAATCTGGCAAAACTACTAGAGTATATTTGGATGTACATTGTTTTCAAGTGTGAGTTTTATTCACCTGCCAATGTAAAGAGAATCCCGGAGGAAAATCACGCCCATTGCAACAGCAATCGCAATCGACAGAGGCTTGAACATTGCAACGAATAAAGGCCCCTTGATCCGCAAAGCCCACGTGTGTATTGTATTGTTGATGCAAGATCCAAACAATCCCTATACATAAAGACATAGTCAACAAAAAAAAAAATTTATTGTTAATCACTAATTACACTCATAGTGACTAGGAAACACGTACGAATAAGTAGTGATTATATTCTCACCGAGCAAACAATTGACACTAGAGCTATATTTGGTTTTATCTTCCATGCACTCAAGTCACTCCCTTCAGTGAACAACGTGACAAGACCGGTCCAAAAGCTCACTCCAAAGCTATAATAGCAAACAACTGTGAACTCGGATGGATACTCTCTCATAATTTGAGTCTACAAAAAGGAAAAAAAAATGTCTCATAAGATATATAAAACAATAACCATATTGAGAGAGGTCAAATTATGTTAATTAAAGTCAGACCTGAACAATGTACCACAAGGGAACCATGAAATACTCGACGGCAAGGAAAGCCGCACCAATGATCCAATCATGGTTAGGCGATTGTGAACGCAGCGATGGCGACATAGCGATCACCACAGGACCATTGTAAAGAGTCACAATAAATGCTCCTCCAATGGAGACTACGGTTCCTAACATTTTAGCCACACTACTTGTTCTCTTGAATGACACACTCTCCATCCTAACACCAAACTCCAAAGAATAAAAAAAAATGTCTCATGGGCTGAACATCAAGGCCCAAATATGCTTCATGAGCTGAGGATATTTTAGGAAATTGACAGTGTAAAAGGAATATATAAGAGGATAATAAACCTGAAAAGGATGGCGAGCAAGAAGGTAAACGCAGGAGTGAGGTTGCTGATTGCAGAAGCAAGTGTTGGAGAGCTATAGTTAATCCCTGTGTATCCCATTATGTTTGAGCAGCATCTATATTATTTTAACACCATTTTTATTAACTTATTCATATAACAAAATAGTACTGACTAATAGAGATGAAAGCAACCTCTTTAAAATTAAATAAAAAGAATTTATTATAAAGGAAAAACAAAAGAAAGTAGATTTTGCAGTACAGTTTGCTATAATTAGTCCATGTCCTTGTCTATCCTCATTATGTTCGAGCAGCATCTATATTAGTTGAACACCATTTTTATTAACTTATTCATATAACAAAATAGTACTAATAGTGATGAGAGCAACCCCTTTTAAAATTAAACAAAAATAATTTATTAGAAAGTAAAAACAAAAGAAAATGGGGGTAGATTTTGCAGTACACTTTGCTATAATAGTACATGTCCTTCTCTATCCTCGTTATGTTGAAGGCTTGGAGCAGCATCTATATTATTATTAATTAAGAAAATATTAAACTGTTTTATAATTAAATAATAATTCCGGTTATTACGAAGATATGAAAATAACGCCTCAAAATCATTTATAATAAAGAAAAATAACAAATAATTGAGTTAGATTTTTGCAGAACAGATGCAGCTTTTGGAAGCAAACTTGTAGCCAAGTGTTTCTAACATTGGTAAGAAAAATCTGAGAATCTTAGAACTCTCATGCAAATAATTTCTTCTTTTTCGGATTAAAGCTTTGATAATCAGGTCTGTGGATTGCATTAAAAATAGAAGAAGTATGGAAAGAAAATAAAAAATAAAAAATAAAAACTTTACCCAATTAGCCCTAGAAGCACGATTTTGTAGAGAATTGAGAAATTCATCGGTGGAAGCGTTCTTGATCTGTTAGTTCAACAAGAACCCATCACTCTATTGCATCAGAATGACAAAAACTTTAGCTCAACTTTGGTAAGGTAGAAAGAAACTCTAGCTGACCTGGAGGAGAAGAAAAGAGAAGGAAGGAGAAGAAGAGCAGCGAGACCGTAAGAATAAACTATGAAGACATGGAAGCTCATGCCTTGTAAAGTCGCTGCCTTGAACAGAGTGTTTAAGCCTACGTTTGCACATTCCATTATTACCAGCGCCGTTACCGGCAACACCTCTCTCTCAAAATATTTTCTTGACATCTCTGCTGTCTCTCACTTTCCTCTCTTCCACTCTTTGTTCTTTAGTTCTGTAGAAGTGATTTTTTTTTATAAAGGAGAGATGTAAAGATGAGAAACAGAGTTGCTCTATTTTTTTATTGGGAAGAAAATACTAAACGCACACTTGTGAAAGATGTCAAGTAGAAATGTAACATGCTGACACATATGTACATGGACTTTACTTCGGCCCAAATCGAATTTGGTCAAGAAATGTCAAGAAGTTATAGTTCAATTATCAGAGTTGTTTAGTCAATAAATCATTGTTTACTCTTACCTATATTATGTTTCTAGAAATTAATTGCTTTCCAAAGACTTTGTTAATCAATGGACTCTTTTCACATTGAGATTACTTCACTTGCAGTAAATGGACCCTAGCTTACCGATGTGGACTTGTAGTAAAGGGTGGTTTATCATAATACAAGGTATACCATTATCGCGCAAATGTTTATGATATGATTCAATACCAAATCACATGGTTTATGCCGTTGGTCTATAATGGACGCATGCATCTTCCACACGCCATAGTATAAAATCTACTTAGCTCATTAACAATTAATCTTAGGGGGTGGTATTCGATTTAGGAATTTAATGGAATTTGAAAGAATTCATTAATAACAATTTTTGCAGTAGTTTAAAAGAGTTGATGAAATTTTAATGCATTTACATAATTCCCTTGTTTATCTTTTGTCATAGATTGTAACGGAATTGACATTATATTGATAGAATAACAATGACTACTACTGTTACAAAAGTTCACGTAAAAAGACAAGCAAAAACACGATCCGTATTGTTGATAAGTATATTTTAGGGTGAAATATATATGTTATCCATTTCTTTTGTTTTATGACAGAGGATCGGATTTTCAAAATCTCCGGCTTCACCGTCTCCACTACGGAAACATCCCGTTGGATTCAGCTTCGTACCTTCATCTGATTCAGATAACTCATCATCTCGGAACACACCGCCCCGTCTCCTACGGTGGAGCTTGACGCTTTCATCGAGATTCTTCCTCCGGCGACAAGGAAAGAGATCGTCAAGCACGAGTCAATCAGTGAATTAATCGAAGTGGTGATGGATTTAGGGAGAAAGCCACTTGGTCGATTCCCTTCCAGCGATTGGGTGATCTCAGAGATGCCTGTGATACAACATGATTTGAAACTCGCTGTATCAAAGGTGTGTGTGTGTGTCTTTTATTAGGGTGATCACAAATCTCTTCATAAGAGCAAAGAATTGGTCGTTCACGTTTTTACAATAATTTTCCATTAAATTCTTTTCAAATAACATTCCTACAAAATCTATCAAATATTGAATAACACTGAAATTTAAAGTAATTAGAAAACTAATTGCAAATCTTTAATCCAATAACACAGAAATTGAAAAGAATTGATAAAATCTACAATTGAATAACAGTAGAATTTAATGGAACTATGATTCGTTCAAATTCCATCAAACTTCTAAATCCAATACCCCCACCTTAGTCTAATAGAAATAATATCCTATTTGAAAACTGGAAATAAGTCATCATAAAAGAGACCCATGACCATGATAGAGTGATTTGAGTTTAATGTATATACCAACTATATATACAAGAACATTTGGGTGTGACTTTACGTCAGCCTACACAAGAAAATAATAAGACTAAAACGAATCAATATATAGTAGTCGTGATGCGCTTGTGTTTGTGTAAATCAACTTGATAGAAAACTACGGCGTAAGATAACACTTAGTGATGAGAGTTTTTGCCCCACAAGTAGATTAAAAGAATATGAACTCTTTTATTAGATAATGGAAAACGACGTTGAAAACATAAGGACATTAGAAAACAACCTTTCACAAGGTTAAATGCCACCATTAATGTGTGTCTATCATTCTTACTCGATTCTAGGCTTTCTAGCCACTAGATAGTTTTTTTTTTAATGTTAATTAGTAACTATAGTATATTTGTACTATTGGTTAATTATACAGTTGTACTATCTGCTAGCTAAGAACACAAGTAAATTATCAGGAAAACCAGAAAAAGCCTATTAATGAACAATGGTCAATGATCGTTATGATGATGATAACATGACGGTAAAAAAAAACGTCGCATTTGTGAAAACTTGAACATTGTCACTAAGTATCACGAAGTTGTCTTCACCGTACTCCACGGGTTTGCGACCAGCCAGGAGTTTTAGTCTGTAGACATCGCATTTTTCTTTGACCCTTAAGTTCAGGAAGTCTAATTCAGGCGTTACGTAACCTGTGGGGATCAAGAAATAACTTTTATCCGGGGGGAAAATTATAAAAACTGATCAACACCTTTTTAAATTTGAGTTTTAACAGAGGCAATATATAAAATCAGCATAAAACTACACTGATTTCAAAACTAGCATAGGCCCTCATATTAAGATATGAAGCTTTGGGCTTTGATAGTGTTAGATATTGAAGGCCACATATGATAAAAGTCTAAATAACAAACTCTACGTGAATTAGCTTGCTAATCAAATCAGTTCCAAAGTATATATGCATGCATAAGTTATTTCTCTCTCCTCTATCCCTAAACTCTCTCGACCTCTCGTTTAAAGTATCGCGTGCATCTTACCCTCCGACGTACGGACGGCGCGTCTGCGCGAGTGCCGGGGCCGGAGGGGTTTCTTCTCCCTTCTCTTGGTTTTCCTCTTTCCTCAACTCAGTCTTTGTGCTCCCTTGCTCGATATGCGCGCTCGTCTAGGTTGGCCTGTCTCTCCGGTGGAAGCTTCAGTCGCGAGGAGTCGACACTAGGTGGAGGTGGTTTCCTTCTCCGGACGTGCGGCGAGGGTATTGGTGAAGCAGAGAGGTTTTGAGTCGGATTTTAGGGTTTATGGAGTTTCTCGGTTTTCCCCTTCTCGAGATCTCCGGTGTTCTGTCATCGTGGGGAGGCAGCATGGGTTCTTGTCACGGCTAGGTCCGGCGGTGCTCTGTTGCTGCGGACTGATTGCTCCGTGCTCGTTCGATTTTGGTGGTGGTTTCTTAGGGTCTCTTCGGGTCAGAGGGATTCCAGTCTCTGGTCGCCGCAATCAAGAGTGTTCCGGCCGTTTTTGCTTGGGAGTCGAGGTTCGATGTCGGATGTAATCGTGGTGAAAGTGTCCGATGTTGGCTTCTTCGCGTGGTGTTTCCGGTTCCACTCGAGTGGTCGTCTATGGCCATAAGATGGTTTTCTAGTTCCCCGCTACTCTTTCGATGCTCTCTCTCCCGGTATTCTGCTCCGATTCTCCGAGAGTTAGGTGACGGCCTGACTTTAGGAGTTAAAGTCTCTCGTTTTATCTTAGTTTTATCTCCGTTGGCTCTGGAGGTTATTTGTTCGTGTACAAGAAATAGGTTCTTTGGTTCTCAAAGACCTTAGATGCTTAGACGGTTCTCGGGGAGTCATTGCCGTCTATGAGTCAGCATCTCGTCTTAGCTCACATCCCGGCGTCGTGGTGCTGGGCTTGTTCCTTCCACGGTGGTGCAGCTGACTTTCTTGTGTAGGTTTGGAGACTTCTTTGCAGGATGTGGTGGCAGATACAACCCGATTTTGTGCAGGCTGTGTTGGCGTCCGAAGCAAGCGCTTGCTCTTTTGGGATGCGGTTCAAGGCGTCGCGTGGCGTTTCCTACATACCGGCTTTGGTGGCTTAGCATGGCTTTGGTAAGTTTTGAACTCTCCCCTTCGGTCGTTTGAGCTTCATAGACAGAGAAAGGTATAAGCTTTGTGGAGATCATCGGGAACTAGCTACTCCGGAGACGTCAAGGGAACTCCCGGCATCCGAGGTAACGAGGAGAACCTCACTTTCCCGAGAGTTACGTCAATGGTTGAGAACGGCTACCGATTTCGATTGATTTTGAAAAACAAACTAGCGGAATGTGCCGGGTTTAGTGGGTGGGCGAAGCTAGGCTTGTAATAGTTTGATTTCGATATTTTGTTCAAAACAAGCTTGTAACCGTCTCTGATTCCCGATTTTTCGGGCAGATTTTATATATAATATTTAATTAAAAAAAAAAAAAAAAAAAAAAAAAAAGATAATAGTGAAACCCAAAAGATAGATATAAAGATGCGTGTTAATTGTCTTCATTTCTTTTTCGTTGTTGAGTAGAGTCAGCACTAAGAGAATTTAGTGTCTCACTCCATATGTTAGTCAGGCCGTCTTAAAGAAATTTAGGACTCAGTGTTCTGGTCAAAATATTTTCTTAAAATGTTTTTTAAGAAGTACTAGACCATGACCCGCCCGACCGGGCGGGTGTTTTGTTTTCTTTTAATTTTTAGGTTTATACTAAATGAGGTAAAATAAAAAATGAAGTATCAATTAAATGGTTACAAATTACTTATGGGTTTAATTTTGATAGAAGAATACCGAAAAGTTTGTTGTTTGATCCGCGCAAGTGTTTGTTTTTATATATTTTATAAGTGATAATATATATTTTTAAATTTACCTGTTTAAATAATTGTTTAAAATGACATTTTAAACACACAATTTTATAGTTTATATTGAGTAATTTTATTTTATCTTATAAACTATCATTGTGTCATATTTATTTTAAAAATATGACCCGTATATCTGCACAAATGTTTTTATTTTATTTTTGTGGATCAAAATTTTATGATAATGTATAACTAAATTGTTTTATTTACTATTTAAAATATATGGTCTTATATATTTCTACTTTTTAACTTTTATCATTCTGAATTTACCTTGAACTATTATTTATATAAAAATATACATAACATGATATGTTTATATTAATCTTTTTATTATATACTATATAAATGTTTCTTTTTGTGACTTTTATTTTAGTAATTACTTATAAAAAATAAATATAATTATATATTTTGGGAAAAATATTGTTCATTAACTATTTAAAGATATGTATATAATTAATACGAAAAAAATCCTAAAAGGTGGGTTAATTAATATTGGAATTAATTAATGTATATAGAATTTGTAAAACAATTTCTATATAATTTATTTATTTAATTACGAAAGGTATAT